GGATGTATTTCGTATGCTGAGTCCGTTCAATATGAGAATATATCTAGTTAGCATTATGCGCACGCCCTTTTGAAATAGTAGTTCTCAACCTCCTTCATGAAGTTTCCATCTCAACACCGATGGCACAAGTCAGATCTGGCGTCGACGCCTCGATGAATCAAGCTCCGACTATCCACAGCGAGGATATGACACAATACTTTGCTCCAACGCCTTTGTGCTCCACCCACCAACACCAACCTCACTTGTCAGCAATGCAACCTATCTTGCACTCGAACGCCAGCGCCCACCACTACAACCACTCCCGATCCCAAATCACACACTTGACAGACATCTCTTACCCCGAATCCTACCTTCGTACCCCCATCTATGCGCTCCCCTTTCCGCATCCAAAATGGCATGTCAAAGTCGGCACGGGAGAGGCGTACGAAGTTACAAGCCCTATCTGGGAGGAATACGATGCCGAGCTAGGGTATGTGAATAGTGTGGGTGAAGTGAGGGAGAGTATTGAAAGTCGTGTGGGAGACGAAGGTGATAAGGAGAACAGTGTAGAAAAGGGCACTAGAAGAGGGAAGAGGAGATTGGACGATATTAGTGAGATGTGTTGCGAGAACGTAAAGAGGAAGCGGTTTAGGGATGCGTAGAAAACCGAAAAGTAGTCAATGATTGTACCACGACTCAAGTCACTGGGGCTCTTGATTCCAAAGCAGGTGGGAGTATGAATAGGTTCTTGAATTTACACAGGTCTTTGTATAGGCTTCGGCTGCACTGCCGTCGCCGGAGCACCAGGCACCGGGAACAGCGGCGTAGCCGCCTCGTTCATTTCGCGGATTTTCTTGATCAAGTTGCTGTCATCGTGTTAGCTTACTGTGCTTGCATCTCCACCTTCGGAGACATTGACTTACCTAACAGGCAGATTCAATCTATCCTGTTCTCTCCAAAGAATACCAACAACCTTCTCTCGCCCTCGACTGTGATCTTCCAAGTGTTCTGTGATCAATTGTCTACCCAACTCTTTACTGCATCCGTAGATTTTCTGCGTGCAACCGTCGAAACTGCAGATCCAGGAGTCACGGGGGCCATTAGCTTCGTATGTCGGTAAGGGTGTTGATATTATCGGTGGTGATACTATTGATTTAGTTTTTCCTGATGATGATGCTGGATTCGCGTGGGGAGGGAGATGGGAGGGTCGGTGACGGAGCGGAAGAGGTGGTACAGCGCTGACTCCTTCAGAGGCAGAGTCCGAGTCGCCAGTTGTAGGTGGAGATTCAGGTGCTACGGACGCACTGGCTGTACGTTTCCGTCGATCCTTCTCGTCTTGATCACGGTCCGTATCGTCTAGTTTTCTTTTCTCTCGACCTGGTGATAGGGCGTGGGTTGGTGTGTCGATGCCTTCTTCCTCATCATCTTCATCACTACCTGTAGCGTTACTGCTTTGCTCGGCTTCCGAGTCGTCACTTGCCGGCACGGGTGCTTTCCCCTTTCCGCCTTTCTGTCTCCCTGGCTTAATGCTGATCCCTTTGCTCTTGCCAGAAAACTTTCCACTCGTAGGTCTTAGCACAGAGAGCCGGCCTTGCTTCCGTCTACCCGGTGGTCTACGCACAGGTGTTGTTATTGCGTCATCTTCTTCGTCGGACGTATCCGAAGAACCGCTTTCACCGTCCCTCAGAGTTCCGTGATCTTTCCGTGGTTTCAGTTCCACCCCTTCAGCTCGCCGTTGTTCGGCTGCGGGAAGTGTGTGGCCGGCTGCCAGCTCTTGATATATAGGTTCGGCGGCAAAGAATTGTATGTTCTTCCGCCGCGGGTGGTCCATCATGTAGCACAGATTCTGTGCGTGTACCAGAAGCACATTCTTCGCAGTGTCCGCTTCCTCAATCTCGTATCGCCTAACAATGAGTTCGGCAACGCGATCCACCGTTATGTGATTCCGTCCTGCTCGTAGAACCCGTTGGTTCACTGCTTTCTGCATAAATTCGAAGAGAGCGGCCGCCTCCCACCAGTTGTCGTCTTTCTTCGGCGCTTCCGTTGGTTTCGGTGTCGCATTCGCTTGCGCCGTTTTGGAAGCTGGCGTTGGTGCAGATGCGGACTTCTGGGTCCTCGCTGAGCGTTCGGGTTGGATCTGAGAATAGCGCCCTTCGATTCGTGCCTTACAATTGTCGAAGTCTTTCTACACGCACGTTAGATCCGGCACACGTTGGAGCTCCATGCTTCCTACCGGGAACCGTCGTCTGAAACGTTGATAGATAGGCGTGTTACTCCAGCTCAGTCCCTGGGCTTTGTTCAGAAAGCACATCATGAGGAACAGATGATGTTGATCGAATAGTCTCTCAGCCGCGGCCACATCGTTGCAAGGAAAACGCTCGTCCTCCGCATACTGTGTCGTGTTAGCGCCACAATGTTGCATGATTCTAAGACATGCTGACCTCTTGGAAGACCAGCTCAGCACTGGGCCCGCTACTCTTCTTCCGCGACTCGCCGTATATGTCTGTGACAAAGTATAGAAGTTCCACAGCCTGAACCATCTGGTCGTAGATGGGCTTGTACTGCGCGGTCGGTCGTATCTCGAACCAGCCTGCCTGGCCTTGCGCCCAAATTACGTATGCGCCGTCGGTCATTTCGCCGTAGGAGAAGCGCGTCACATGTTGTATTTCGATTTCCATGGGCTTGTAGGGTTTCTTCAAAACTGCAGCCGCGTTAGCCAGAGCTCTGTGCTTAGTCGTCGCGTCCAACAGCCGACAAGCATGTCTCACATACGATATTTCAGCTGGCTACGCCCTGGAGTCTCCAGTCGCCCTTCCACTCGGAGTGGGGTGTCTGCATATGCAGCAAGAAGGCTTGCAGGTTTGCCATTGCTTTCGAAGACGATGCGCGCATCGCTCAGGACAAAGATCTCCCAGTCGTCGGAATTGGTGTTGGAGGCGTCGAGTGGCTTCAGTATCTCGGATTCTGGGGTCGGCATCTTAAGAAATAATCTCGGGTATACTGCATGCTGCGGTGTTACAAAACAGAGCTGCCGGTCCAAGGTCAGGTAAAAGAAGTAGTGGGGATGAGCGATGCGGGCGGGCGCGAAGGGCGCGAGACGGGATGCGCGTCCAGGGTCAAAGGCGTGTTATCGATAGCTGCTTCCCGAGGTCACTTGCGTCACTCGAAAGCCAAACTCAAGCGTTGCAGCCTACAACACACTTTTAAAGTAGAAGGTGTTGCATCCAAATCTATGTAGTCGGCAAACCGATATACAACTGAAGGGTTTCTTGGAAAATGTAGCTATACCAGATCTAACTTTTGCGACGACATGGGAAAGGCCATTTCCAGAAGAGCACATGTTCTCACCTTTTGAGGTCTTCGATATTGTACCTAGGTATTGCCCAGAAGATCCATAGTGCCCCCGGGTGGATACATCACGGTCTGAAAGCAACATGAGCCGTATGAAAAGTCAATGTAGCCTGCAAATTAAATTATACTAATAGTGGGTATCTTAGAGTAACACAACGAATCCATCAAGTCATCTCATCATACCGCAGCCTCCTCGGCAGCCTCCTGCTTGCGTATCTGATCCTCCAACCGCTTCTTTTCTGCTTGCTTCAGTCTCATCATAGTCACCTCCTCTAAGCTATGTGTCTTCGGGCTGAAAGAGAACTTTGGTGTTCCTAGTGGCGTGGTACTTCCAACGCCCTTCCCTATGCCTGGGCCAAACGATGACCTGAAGGACTGGTTCTTCGGCGTAGATATAGGTGTTGACGGCGCTGAGGGCGCGTCGTTGGTTGGTGATTTGAGGTCGGGCTCGCCGTTCGCCCAAGCCACGGATTCGAGCGACGGGTAGTCGGACTTTCCGTCCAGAACGGCGGCGTGCGCGTGATCAAGACGTGTGTAGATGATAAAGACAATGGCGATGACCTTGCGGTGCTTCTCTCCCGATGGTCGGATCTTCTTGTCCTTGCCCATGACGACGCTGTCGATCTTGCCGTATTTCGCAAACATGCTCGATAGCTTGTCTTTGTCCCAGTTTGTAGCGTCGCCTTCTCGTTGGAACCGGACCTTGACTGTGCGATCGATCTCGGCGGAGTCTCCAGGCTTGGGTGCCTGCGGCTCAGGGCTTACGTCCACGAAGCTCGCCTCGTCCTCTTCTTTGCGCTTCTTCTCCATGCGCTCTTGTGCTTCCTTTCTGCGCCTCTTGCCATCTTCGGCTAGTCTTTGTATCTCCTGTTCTCTCCTTTCCGCCTCGTTCATATCTTCCGCCCTCTTCCTCTTTAGGTTGTTCATGAAGTCCTTGCCCTCTCGCTCCCTCCTTTCCAGGTCATCCTTCATTTTGCGCCGCCGACCGTCCAGAAGTTCATCCTGGAGCGCTTTCTCCCGCCGCCTGGTACGCGCGCGGTCATATTCGCCCTTTAGCTTCTCGTCTATGAGGATATCTCGAGCCCATCCTAAGTAAATAAAGCGATCCGCAGCATCTTTGTTGTCGGGATTTTTATCGGGATGGTAACGAATCGAGGCTTTACGGTAAGCCTTCTTGATTGCAGCTTCCGGCGCATCGAAGGCTACACCAAGCAACTCGTAGAAATCCTCGGTGGTTGATTTCGCGAGATCTTCGAGGTCCTTGTTGGTGTCGCTCATGATATCGGTGGACCAAGGTATACGTGAGCAGTCAGGGGCCCAGAGCGGGACGTTGGCGCGTGGGATCGAGAGGGGAGACGAAAGTTGCAAGTGGATGTGAATAGCGCAAGCGCGAGGCAGCCGCAGAAACATGTGAGATGATCGCCCACTAGCGCGCCTTCCGGCTTGGCGCATATTCTCGCAACGGCTGCGAAATTTCGCGTTACCGCATACATTGTATTATATTTTGACAATCAAGTAGCACACAAGATGATGTATACTCCAGCCTGATTTTGGAAATATATATATCTCTGTGTAGTCTGTAGGCAACACAAGTTCTGTTAACATCTAGTGGCCCCAATACCTCCCACCCTAGTAGCTAGAGCTCCGAGCTTCCTTCTATCACCCCGCTGATGCCAGTCGCGTCTTCGATAAAGCGCGCGATTATGACTACTCCACCGACCGAGAGTCGCAAGGTGCTCGAAGGTATCTTCGCAATCAACAAGCCGCAATGGGCCTCCTCCGCCGGCGTCTTGCGCGACCTCCAAGATCACTTCTCTCGCTCGCCGCTCTTCGCACCCTGGCTCGAAGCCCAAAAGCGCTCCCTCATCATCGCGGACGCTAAGCCCAAACACCTCAAGAATGTCAAAGCGAAACTCGGCCATGGTGGTACCCTCGATCCAATGGCTACTGGCGTCTTGATTGTCGGCATGGGCAAGGGCACGAAATGCTTACAACGCTTCCTCGAGTGCACGAAGACATACGAATGCGTGGTATTATTCGGCGCGGCGACAGACAGCTACGATGCTGTAGGCAAGGTTGTCGGGAAGGCGGAGTACGAGCATGTCACAAGGGAATTGGTAGAGGAGAAGCTAGCGCAGTTTCGCGGCAAGATCTTGCAGAAGCCGAGCGTTTTCTCTGCACTCAAGGTGGATGGCAAGAAGATGTACGAATATGCTAGAGAGGGCAAGGACATACCAGAGGTAGCAGCGCGGCCGGTCGAAGTAGAAGAGCTGGAGCTTGTCGAGTGGCTGGAACCCGGAAGCCATGACTTTGCCTGGCCAAAGGAGGAAGTGGATGGTGCTGAGATGGAGGGCGCAAAGAAGCTGATGGGTATCCGGAAAGAAGACGCGAAAGTCTACTCCGACACAGCGGCAAGAAGAGGGCGCAAGCGATCGAGATCACCGGAAAACGACCACGTTGAAGGCGCAGGGCAGCAGCCGAAGATACCTAAGACGGATTCCGAGCCTGCCATGTCCGGTGCTTTACCAGCAGAGGTAGCGCCCACCGAGGAAACCTCCGCGGAGAACGTCACAGATGCCAGTGTCGAAGCATCATTGCCAACAGAAGAGAAGCCGGTAGTCTCGATGGAAGAAGCACAAGTACCAGAAGACACCTCAACACTCACCCAAAATAACCCCGCTGAACCTGCCGACGCTGCCGCAACATCAGCTACATCTGCGCCCACCCCGCAGCCACCGGCAGCCCGTCTTCGCATGACAGTAACATCTGGCTTCTACGTACGCTCTCTTTGCCACGATCTCGGTCTAGCCTGTAACTCGCTCGGCCTCATGTCGTCTCTCATCCGCTCTCGCCAAGGCGACTACACGCTCGGCCAGAACGTCCTAGAATACACGGATCTGGAAGACCAATCGAAGTGGGAGCCCCAACTTCAGAAGCAGCTAGAAGAGTTCATGGAGAAGGAGGGTTGGCCAATTGAGGAACTGGACGACGACGAGAGCTGGGAGGGGAGGAAAAAGGATCTGATGGAGCAGAGGAAAGACAATGACCGGGAGAAGAGCTACAAGGGTGGTGGTAAGAAGTGGAACTCGAAGGGTAAGGGGAAGTATGGACGGAATGGGTACTCAAAAAACATGGACGGTGGACGGAAATGAGGGATTGGTACTACTATAACTTGCATTATGATACCCCATGAACCAATGAAAATGACTTTGGTATTTGGCTATGGAGAATTGTTCAAAGAAAATGTGTATGAACAGGTTGAGTATGCGACCCAGGTATCCGACGTCAAACGTCCGTCCTCGAATTCCTTCGACTTAGACTTTGTCTTATACTCTGAAAGCCCCTCTGCACCTCCGTCACAGCATCATCCGCGCCCTGCAGTCCCTCTGCTTCATCTTTCCGATCCTCATGGTTGATGAACAAGAAGGAAAGCACCATGATCGCTGCGCCGACCCAATACAATGCCGATGCATACTGCGAGTCCAACAGCATCTGCCCGACCAGACTGCACGGAATGGTCAAACTAAGACCAACAGTGACAATCAGCGGGGAAGTAAGCAGCATAGCGTACGCCCAGCAAAAGTCGGAGACGAGAGATGATGCGCTGTTGATGAGCACGATGTTGAGGATGCGCGATGTGGGCGGGAGCTCAAAAGGTTCTATGCCGGTAAGATGTAGGATGATGAATCCGGGCCAGAGTAGTAAGATGTTGGACAATCCAACGAGGCCGAAGAAGAGAGGCATGTTGACCTTTGTCTCATCGCCAATCCGAGACTTCATGAAGACCGTGTAGAAACCGTATAGTACAGCCGACACAAAGGCCATGACGTCGCCAATGGCTAGTTCTTTTGGTGTCTTGTGCGGGAAGGAACCGCGGTTCTCGTCTGTCTCGCCGGATACGTCGACCATGGAGATGAGGGCTACACCGCCGAGAGACGCGAGTACGCCGAGGAATTTGAGCAGCGTGAAGCGCTCGACGCGCATTATGGATCCCAGAAGTAGGGTCCAGATGGAGGACGTAGAAGAAAGGATAGTAGAACTGGCAACGGTTGTGTACTCTAGACAGGCGGCCGCAAAGTAGTTTGCCAGGAACCAAAGGAGACAGAACTCCAGCGCCAGTTTCGCTGTATCTCTTATCGTCAAGCCGTCGTCCTCGTCCTGGCCACCAGTTTTCCCGGTTGCGAAACTTTGGGAGCCGTGCAGGGAGGACGATAGCAGGACTTCGGTTGCCTCGTCATTGCGAGCTTTGTTCGAGGCTGAGGTTGAAGAGGGGGTCTCGTGTTCGCGGAGGAGCTTCCATTTCCCTGCTCGCCGTTGCAAGAGGTCGCGTGCGTGTGCTAGGAGAGGTTGGCGGTGCTGCCGCGCGCTGTTGGGACGGTGACGGTCGACCCATAGGTGGTGGAGGAACATGGGTAGGAGAGGGATGACGAAGAATGTTGTGTTTACGTAGGTTACCAGGTAGGGCTTCGAGTAGGAGTCGTCTGCGAATATTGTCTGTTCCATTGTCAGCTATGCGCTTACCACTACCGTGCCATCCCAGGGGATGCGAGATACGTACACTCGCGAGGAAATTACTAGCTGTCCACAGTAGCACCGTCGCAAGTAGGAGAGCTATTCCTACTGCGTGTCGTACTTTGCTCGTCCATAATCCCTTCTTCTGTCCCTCAGCCCACTGGCTGGCTTCGCTCGCTGGGCTCTCGAGGTAGTCTTCCCCGCGCAAGTATGCGCTCTCGTCGGAGACGTCGCTAACGCGTGGACTGAGCGGCGTCGTCTCAACATCTTCTTCCCTCCGAGGTATCATGTTGGCAGGGTGTAATAGAAATTAATGTAGGTGTATGGACAGGTCCGTCAAGGAGGGTCTTCGGTGATAAGCGGGCTCACGGTCGGGGTACGTGTCGAGGCATGGAAGAATATGCGAGCGCCCATGAAATCAGTCGTTTGTCAAAGGCAGAGAAATATGCAAGTGATGGACTCGTGGCACGGGGTGGTTCGGCGTAACACGCGGACACTTGATAAGAGGGTGCTAAGTCCCGGGGGTTGCGAGTTTCATGTGTCCTCGTGTCTCAAAGAGGCCCGTTGACGGAATTGTGGCGGTGCCGCCTTAGCCACGGACCCACGTCATCACGGATACGCGGGCGGAAGGCACGCGTCTGATAGCACTCCAGGCAAAAGTACTGTTCATGTATGTATTCATATATTCTTAGGCAGCTATATCGACTAGGTGACAATGACCCCATCCGTGATGATAGATTACAGGAGTAAGAGATCCTCCTGCTCAAGAAGCATGTTCAACACCAAACTCCATGCGAACTCCAGATGCAAGACGGCATTGCGGCAGATGAGGTTCCATTGTCGGTTCTCATAAACGTCGCTTATTTCGTGATGGCATACACTAGCATGCGCAACCGCCTTCGCTGCCCTTGAGGTCGATCGGGATTGTCTCGGGGAAGTCGTTGCTGAAGTCACCCACGTCCTCCTGTGCTAGAGCTTGTCGTGCGATAACTACGGATGTCAGCTTCCGAAAGCGGGGATTCGTATGACTCTAGGTCTGGCTTACCTTCAAAAGCTTGCTCGACGTTGATGGCCTCCTTAGCACTGGTCTCGAAGTACGGGATACCACCCTTCGATTGGCAAAATGTCATGGCGCGCTTAGACGAGATCTGGCGCTGTTAGTATGAAGCCTTGAACGGTCGCTACAGAGACTCACCATCCTTTTGCTCTCCTCCACATCGATTTTGTTGCCAATGACAACCTGTCCGCGTCAGTACAGATGTACACCCAATCTACCCGTATGCACCTACAAATGGGAAGCTCTCAGGATCCATCGGGCTGGCCTGAACCAAGAATTCGTCCCTCCAGCTATCCAGGGTATCGAAACTCTTCGAGTTGTTCACGTCGTATACGAGCACGCAGCAGTCGGCACCGCGGTAGAAGGCAACACCGAGCGATTGGAAGCGCTCTTGACCGGCAGTGTCCCAGAGCTATCGTACGTCAGTAAGATCCAAGCGCGCAGATTCACATGTACACACCTGCATGGTAACCAGCCTGTCGTCGACCAGCACTTCCTTGGTCAGGAAATCGGCACCAATCGTGGCTTTGTAGCTTGCGCTGAACTTCTTGTTGACCTGTAGAGACAGTATAAGCCAGTATTCATAGCCTGTAGCTATCACTCGTGTCGTGTATAGCTCTACGAGGGGTTCTTCGTACATATTGGTTCATCAAGCTCGTCTTGCCGACCCCGCTGTCTCCGAGGATAATGACCTGCGCGCATTAGCCGTGAAGGCAAGACCCCGTCGGGAACTGAAATACCTTGAGGAGGACCTTCTTCCTTGATGCCATCTTGTAGAGAGTGTGTGTAGGTAGGAAGACGAGGTACGGCGCGGTCGATTCGAGGCGCGAAGCTAGATGCTTCGAGGTGGTGCGGAGTTGGCTGCGCGGATACTAGGCCGAGGTAGAGGGTATGCGACGCCAATATTTAGGTCTCCGGGACGTTGGTCGAGTAGGGAAATCAAGGCACTGCGTTTATGGCGCAGATACGGTGAGGATAGGTGCAGCTTCGTTACCAGAGATCGATGATGGTTGATGTCAAGCTGGGCACGGACACAACGCTAGCCGCCCGTCCCATGGTCTGAGGTGCCCACGTCAACTCACGCGCCCACCTGACACCGCATTCACATTGACCGTCTACCCCCGCCGCTGATCCACGACTGTCCATGAAGGAGAGCTTCATCCTTATATCAATTCCCAACAGTTGCTCGTGTCATCGCCAATCTCCAACCTGGCGCGACTGAGTACCTAATCGATACCTCCAGGGATACCAGTAGATCACCTAAGCGGTAAAGTTTAAGGCTGCCAGTACGGGCCTGCCCAGGTGCTCACACATCGCTCGTAGTACTGAATTCACAGTGTCAAACCCTCAACTTCTCTACGATTTTTGAACACCACACCCGTAATTACCATCTTGAACTTGTACGGCGCTTCCTTTAAAACATTTGGATGGCATCAAACTGGACAACGTGCTGTATTTATGCTCGAGAGATAAGCGAGAATTTACTTGAAAGCTCTTGATATGGTAAAACGGCCCATCATCACATGAAAGAACGCCGTATTAAAGCATTGAGATAAATGAATTCTAAATGTATTACTCCTTGAGTATAGCATGAACACTTTGCTTTGCTAGACTCTGCATGTTTGGTCTCTGATAGCAAACTTACACAGTCAAACTATCAGTGATCTACTAAGTTTCGATTGTTGATTTCTGATCGAGTGAACTGGAAGAGACGCGATTCGGCCAGTGAATGCAAACACGTCTTGGCAGAGCGTCGATTTCACTATAACTGTAGTTTCGATAGTGCGTTCTTTCCTCGACCCAGCCAATACCACTGATCCTTTCCGCATCAATCTAGAGCGTCACAGCTCCAGAGATCAGTCCTTTGTCATGACGAACGCGGATCCCCTTCACTCGCATTTCATGGCGCTCACTAATATCGGAGGCACTTTGTCCGAGCAGGAACGTATACAGCTGATCAGTAGGTCGTTAATCGCCCCAAGCTCTCGTTGTCTTTGAGAGAAAACTGACTTGAAGATCTAGATACGCTGGTATTTCTGGTCCGTACCGAGTATCCTTCCGTCGCCAGTGTTCGCGACGTCAACCTGGTCACTATCCAAATATCATCCGACAGATATCGCATCGACGTAACATCCCGCAAAGGAACTATCATCTTCGGGTGGGACGTAAGAACACGCATTGAGGTGCTCGAGGGTCTCCGTGATGCCATAGAGAAGCGAGCAGCGCAAGTGATCTTGGAAACGAGCGGGCCACGGAACGGACGTGTGCTGGCAAAAGACCAGCCAAAGTCCCATAGACAAGACCCCAAGGCGTCATCGGATTGCCTGAAGCATGAGACTGACAAGTTTCTTACAAAGAAGGCCGATGGCGATTTTGCAAATCTAGACGCCATGCTCGTGAAGAACGACAACAATCATCAGACCCGGATACCTTTTCGCGCCGGTCCAAAGAGAAAGGCGCAAGATCAGAACGAGTGCACAAGGAAGAAATCCAAAGGAAATGACTGCGTCATGAATGACGAAATACTTGGCGAAACAGAAGAGGAAAGGATGTCAGACCATGAAGGACATGAGGAAGCGATGG